GTATGAGAGCAACATCAAATCTGTAGTCTATCTCTCCACTGTTTTGCTTTAATTACTTGCAGGGAAAACTACAGGGTGGAGGAAGACGGGGACAAACATTAGGACCTACCAAATGGCCAAGATAGGATTTGCAGGTTGTGCAAGCTGTGGAAAGTCTACACGAGATGGAGTCAAAACTGCGACACATAATATCTTTCTGTGCTGTGCAGATTATAGATATTAGCTCCTGAAGGAGTCCATTCGAGGAGTGTTTTTGCTGTGTGTGTGTGTGGCGGAAAGAGACAAAATAAACAGTGCAGTGTAGAAATTAAGCAATAGACACAAAAAAAAGCTGGGAGAAGGAGGGAGAGGGTGGGTGTGGGGGTGTAGCAGGCATTGCTAAAATGCCTGGTGAAGTGAGGCACAGCAAGTTTCACTTTGCAGCTTCCTCCACCTCTTATAAACATGCCACAGTTGCTGCTGCAAAGGAATGTCATTCAGCACCTCGTGTCGACATGAACAACTGTCGTGCCATGTCTGTCAGTCAATCAGCGGGGTGCTAGGTACAAGGCAGCGATCGCACTGATGCTGCATCGGTGGTTAAAAAACAAACAAACCAGCCATGGCTCTGAGTTGTTGGACGTGCCCGCAGCTCTGACAGGGGGGGCGTGCATGTTGGTTTAAGGTCCCAAACAGAATACACAGGAGTTTTTTTGCCCACATTATTGCAAAAGAAAAGGGCCACGACGTGACAACGAGCACAGTTGGTCGACACACCCCACTGTCATGTCTCTTATCTGCAGAATAGGGGCACAGTGGAAAGACTACTGCTCAATGTCTGATAGGGCTTAGCTGTCGTAAGAGGCTCCTGCTGTTATCAGCCTGGGAGCTAGGTCCTCTCACAGGCAATACATAGGTGCTCCAAAAACACAGCGCCTTCAGTCAGCTGCATTGTCACAAATCAAAATAAGTTTAATTTAAATGGCACAAGGGACATTTATCCAAAGTAATTTGGGTTTACATTATCTGAACCTTCAGCTCAGTCGCCAGAAGGATATGCTGTACTTCTCAAACCACAAATACGTTACATTTGCATGTTTTATAAGCATCATTTCTTTCTAAAGTGACATCTTGTATGTACTGACTTGATTTAATCTGGAGCTGTAGAGCAGTGGTTCCCAACTGGTGTGTCATGGGTCCAATCTGAATGGACTGCAAGTGACTCATGAACGTGTCAAGTTTGTAAAAAACACTTTATTTTGAAGTACAGTGAATTTCCAGCACAGAGGTTTAGTGAATAAGGGACAGCTGCTTCACAGAGACAGTAAACTAACTTGACGACATGGCCAAACCAAGTATGATGCTGAATGTATTTAACTGTGTGGAACTTGAATTAATAGCTTGACCAGTTGGGATCCACTGGTGTAGAGGATAGTGGATGGCGTGACACCTAGGCGAGACGGCTGCCAAGCTGCAGACAACGGTTCGAAACCAACAAACATCAAAACCGGGTATCTTTTCATAAGTCATTGCTGTGTTCCCTGCAACTGCAGTGTGTCTGTGTCACACTGCAGTTACACCTCCAAAACACTAGTCGGCGGTGAGGTTTCTCTGAAGCGCCGTAAAGTTTAGTTGATCCAAAACACACATTAAACACACATTAAACGTGGCTTTATAGCAACAGTTTCAAACACAAGTACACAAATCAGCTTCACTATAACTCACAGCATTCACAAACAAACACTTGTCTTTATCTGGACACATTTTCCCCACAAATACAACATGCTAATGTTATTAGCACAAGCCTATGGCATTTAACATTGAAAAAATTAGCCTAGAAGCTAAAAAAAATTTCATCTACTCATATGAAGCCAGGGACAACAGCAAAATTTAACAAAGGTAACGTTACAAAATTCAGCTCCATTACAGCTCACAAGGTTCACTGACAAAACAACTGTTTTATATTAAACACGTTTTCCAAACAAATGTCGCATGCTAATGTAATTAACACAAGCCTATGGCATTTTACATTGTGTAAATTAGCCTAGCGACGAGCGACGATTCAACGCAGAAGTATAAATTCCACATTAGATGGCAAACTGTAAATCAAAGATACTGTGTGAAGTGAATGTGTTCTAAAAACGACAGGATTTTAGCTACTGTACTTGATGTGAATCTGAACACACCCAAATGACATATTATGATTATCTCCCATTACGAACCTGGATAATATCCAATTATAAATCAGAGAAAAAAGGCGCTCCTTGTCACTGCAGAATTTCCCCGAAAATCACCATGTTACAAGTTTTCTTCACGGTGACGGCCGTCCGTACACCCATGGGTAAACTGCAAACAGGCACTGCTAGAAGCTAATTCAGCAAAGTTTTAAGCAGCCATTGTGCCATAAAGTAAACAAAACAGGCTAAAAAACAGTAACATTAACTGTGGATGTTGCACTATCACTATGATTGCACAGTTGTCTTGATTTTGTCTGACGGGGGGCCCATAGTGTCAAACCCCTGCTCTCAAGTGTCAAAGTTGCTTCTGACACTAGCCATGCGTTTTACTGACATCACCCCTTGGTCCTCAAACCACTCACACATCACACTCTCTGTGGGTGCGTAAAGCCACTAAACAATTGAGGTTTGGTGGGTTAATGGCACAGAAAGGACAAAAAATAAAGTTGTGATCATACGCTTTTCCCTTTAGTGCGAGGCACACTCAAACAAACTGTTTAAGTGATTGTCCACCCACACGTGAGGAACAACGTAGTGCCAGCGTTCTGCAGTCTCTATCTCCTGTCTGCTTTGCATTCTGTTATATCTGTGAGACTGTAAAAGGAAACCACCAAGAGATTTCAGGCACTGTATCATTTCCGCTCATGTGTGCCATCTACAAGTGAAACTAAGTGCTAAAACTCGGGATTTAAAGGGACAGTTCACCCCCCCCTCCCCAAAAAAATCAAAAATACATATGTTTCCTCTTACCTGTGGTGTTATTTATCAGCCTAGATTGTTTTGGTGTGAGTTGCTGAGTGTTGGAGCTATCGTCCATTTTTTCCTTTTATGGTGTATGCTTTTCATTTCTGCTGGACTATTATTGTAAAGCGGCAATACTTGTGAAGCTCCTGAGTCCAAGACTAATTTCCCCACGGGGTCAGTAAAGTATATTGAATGTATTGTATCAGACCTAGATGGCACTCAGCTTGTGGTGCTCCAGTGTCGAAAAACTGTATTTGAAAAACTCAACAGCAATGTCTCTTTTCAGAAATCATGACCTGGTTACTCAAGATAATCCACAGACCTTGTTGGGAGCAGTTTCATGTAGACACTATTTTCTTTCTACTTAACTACACCTGTATCACCGCGCAGAGAGAAGCGTACATCTACCGCCAGTTCACCTAGCACGCCAGAGCTCAGCCGTGGAAGACGCCATTAACATCTCATGCTGTCACAAGCAGGAGCCTCTTGTATATGAGTAGATACACAATTCCTTCTGCACGGTGATTCAGTTGAAAAAAATAGTTTCTACATAAACTGCTCACAACAAGGTCTGTGGATTATCTTGAGTAACCAGGTCCCAATTTCTGGAAAGAGACATTGCTCTTGAGTTTTTTAAATGTATTTTTTGGCATGTTGAGCACCATCTAGTTCCATTATATTGGAGAGAAGGAAGACATCTCTATGGCCGATATCGCAAACACTCAGCAACTCACACCGAAAAAATCTAGACTGATAAAAAGCACAACAATTTAGAGTGAAATATGTATTTTTGATTTTGGGGGTGAACTGTCCCTTTAACAGAGAGATTACTTTTGGAAAGGAAGCCATAATAACTCATAAAAAGATGCCACGTGTTCACAAATATTTTGCCCCTTACTGTCCGACACACTAACTTAATTATCCCTAAAGAACAATACCACATTTCAGTTCTTAAACCTCTGCCAAAATGTCTGCTGTGGTTTATATTTATGAGAATGAATTTTTAGATGCAGTGTGACACACACTTTAAGAGGACGTCATCATCTCAGATATCCATTGTGAATAAACGTCTATAACTAGCTAAGAAATCAAAGAACTTGCCTGAGTCTGTCCGAGCTAAACATGATTCAGTAGCATAATATCTGCAGCACAAAGCTAAAACACTTATTTCAGCCAACATGGTAAAAATCCTCTGTAAACACATTCCTGAGGAGAGCCCGACGGGGATGTGAGTGGAAATCGTGATATCATAAATGTGGCAACACAAAATCAAACACTCTCCACAGCGTTTGTATTAGACGGTCTTTTCCGGAGCAGGAACTAACTTATTAAAAGGTCACGCACGCAGCACGTTATAAAGCCAAGTGGCCACAAGTAGATTAAGGCTAACAGAGAGCTCTGCGAACACATCTCTGATGTTTGTGGCCAAGGCCGTCGCCTCAGATGCCATCCTGCAGGCTGAGAGCTAAAGTGGGAGGAGAAGGAGGCTGGAGACAAGCGACAAAATGCTTCCACACACACAAATTCACACCCTTGCACACAATGAATCACAGTGTTACAGGAGTCATGTGCGCATTTAACAAGTTGTTGCCTGTGCAGTGGAAGCCATGGATGTTTACCGCAAGTGTGCTACGCTTCTCTGGCTTCTCTGGACTCTAATGAGAAACAACAAACATTAAATTTCCTTCCTGTGTGCCACCAAGTTTCCTTGTGTGCCACTTCTCTCTTCCTTCTACGCACCCCCCTCCCTCCAAACCTCCCTGAAACAAAGGGGGAAAACCCTGCTCATCTGACAAACTGGATGACCAACACTGAAACGCTCACTGCCTCTGCTCACAACCTTCTTGTGATCACAGTTAACCGCCAAAAAAACGCCCGTTATGACAAACTTCTCTCCTCCTGGACACTGAAATAGGCATGTTACACTATGTGACTGTTCAAAGTCTGTGTACTATTGTGTGATAATGTTGCACAATCATGGTGATGATGCTCAACAGGGATGAGAATTTTCAAACACTTGGAAAAACTGGAGACTGTTACCTGTCCACATCCCCGTCGACAGGTATGTGGATTCCAAACAGGCTGTTGACAGTCGGCGTGGCAAGCTGCAGGCTCTCAGGCATGAGGGGCTTCACCGGTTCCTTCCCAGAGACGACAGGAGACTGTGCGTTGACGAGACCCTCTGACTTCCCTGCACCTGCACCGCTGCCACCCTCTACATGTCCAAATCCAGCTGCTGGGAGGCCCTGCGCCCCCAAAGCCACTAGAGTCCTGCTGTGGGGTATCTGACCCGGAGGCAAACTGGAGGTTGTCACATTTGGCATGGCTGCACTGGAGGCACTGGGCACAGCAGTGGGCACAGTGGTGGGCAAACTGGAGCTCACTGCGCTGGCAGGCACGTTTTGTACACCGGAGGATGCAGGGTGGAGGCTGTGGGGTTGAGGCTGTCCGGCGGCTGTGTAATGACCCACAGTGGATCCACCGACCAGCATGGAGCCTCCGACGCCTCCCATTCCTCCGGTCTGCTGCTGCAGGAGGACTGCAGCTGGCTGTCCGGGAGGTACAGATCCTCCCCCTGCTCCTGCGACATCTCCAACCTGACTCGGCAGTGACACCGCTCCAGAGGCTGGAGGCAGGACTGGAGCGTGTGCTTGTCCCACAGGCTGAGGCCCTGCAGACTGGCCGGTGGAAAGCCCTGGCTGCTGCTGCTGATAGTACTCCGTCTGGTTCTGTAGCAGTCCAGAAGACTGGCCGGTCAGGTGGTGGCCCATAGGAAGCTGCTGCTGCTGGGGAGGGTAAGTGACGGTCTGGGCTGTAGGCGGCATGATGGGGGACTTTTGTATGTGTACGACAGGTTGAGGCAGGCCGTTTTGTCCTACGGGCAGCACGCCCTGGGGAGCAGAAGGCTGGAGACCCACTGTTGGCTGAGCTGGGACAGCTGCAGGCTTGCTGCTGGAGAACGCACTCTGCGTGGCCGACCCACTGACACCCTGCTGCCGGGCGCTGTAGTGTGGATGCTGGATTTGTTGCTGCTGCTGCGGTGGCGTCTCCACTGAATGCATGCGGGATGAAGGGACAGAAGCGTCCGCCACAGAGCCCAAACCCTGACCTGAGTGTGTTGCCGGGGCAACCACAGATCCTCCCGTTTGCCCGATCCCACTGTCTCTGTCCGCAGCAGGGTCCAGTGCGGTCGCACTGGCATGCCTAATGCTATCTACAGTCCTACTGACAGCAGAGCCCTCAGAGTCCTTCTCGTAAAACTCTGTACACGTCCACCTGCCTCTTCGAAAGGGTTCTCCGGTACCATGATCGAGTTTGATGACCCTGAAGCGTGAAGTGCAACTCACTGTGGAGGTGGCAGGAGCAGGAGCTGAACTGGTCACTGCAGCAGGTTGGGATGTGTTCACTGACACACTGGTTGCAGGAGCAGGCTGTTGCTGCATTGCCCCGGGCTGACTGATGGGGGCTACACCAGTTGCAGCGCTGATCCCCGGCTGCTGCTGCTGCTGCTGCCCACCTTGAGTCGAGCCCGACACTCCCACCTTCCGATACTCACCCATGGCGCTGCCTGACAGCGCAGACACCTGACCGACTTGAGGTATGTGTGATGGTGCCATAACACTGATCGCCTCTGGCTCCCCGACATTATTCAGGGCTTCTTCGGATGAACTCCTGTCACACGCAGGCTCGTACTCAGCCCGTGACATGTCGTAGATCTCTGACGACACATCTTCAGTCCGCGACTCGTCTGGGTCGTCCAGACTCTCCGTGTCGTCCGCGGCACCTATAGCCGCCACCTGGGCCTGAGTCACACTGGTGATCTGGAAACAGCTCTTCTTCTTGGCCGGCATTTTCGACATATTGACAGCCTGATTCCGAGTCCCGTATGGCTATGTGTATCCTCCGTCAGAAAGGGACGAGCTGGGTGCAGCCTCTAAGAGCTTAGATCATATTAAACAGCACACTGGGGTCTATTTTACTTCTCGCTGTGATCAAGATGAATCTACGCCATCTCTCTTCCTCTCTCGGTCTCCTGTTGCGTTTCATGAGCTCATAACGCAACGCCACACTTTGTGTCGTCTTGTCCAGCAATGCGGCTCTAGACGCTGACACCAGCCGCCCGGAGGATGATCGACCCGGGGCTTTCAGTCGGTCCGGACCGGCCTGCTAATGTCCCGGCTGTGCAGTTGTCAAACGGCCGTTGTCGCAGAGAGTGTTGCCCAGCTGCAGGACCTACTTTAGGCTGAGGAGGGCCCGCAGCCCTCCACTCACCGAGCTAGCTAGCGAGTCAAGCCAACTGGCTGCTGCACACTCCCCCTACGTCGGAACAAGTATGTGAGACATCTTCCCGAAAGCGGTCCTTCGTGTCCACTCACCTCGGCAGCTCACGGTCGGTCGGCGGGGACACTCGGGGTGAAGCTAATGGCGGTCGAGACAGAAACCCGCTGTTTAATATCACGCTTTAAAACAAATGAGAGTCTAAACAGCGCCTACAGTTACCTCCCTCTCTCAGTCACTCTTGACAAGATGGCTATGTTGTATGCAACCGCGCTGCATCGTGGGTAGGTAGAGTGCGTAAGGATGTTTACGTACAAGGCGTTCGAGAATCCCCCGCTCGTGCTGCCTTAAATTACCCTCGCGAAAAGCAGAATCACAAAGCGCGCACAGGAAATTAGACCATAGCTGATACAGTGAACATTTTCTAGAATATTTTTTCAACCAGTAAACAAGTTTCCATCCCAACTAATCTCTCTATAGTTTTTTTTTAAATCATATTCATTATTAGTTTCTCTCTTGGTTTTTTGTTCGGCTCTGGTGCAAAAAAAGCTGCTGCTGGTTATAATTTTTCAGTCAAAATGCCAAATATTCTACTGCGGTGTCAGTATTTGATGCTTTTCTCTGTTTTATTTCACTGTTAATTAAATATTACATATATTATTTATTTTTTAATGTTTAGTTTGGTTTAGTTTAGTGTGTGCAATGACATTAGTCATTTACAAGAAACGAAAACATGGTTGCACCAGATTTAGCGAAACACTTATTTCCATCTGTAGTCCTATACATAACAAGTAGATGCTATGAATAAGAATAGAATTCAAGGTGCAGTGCAGACTACAGTAAATCCACGTGCCTAACATAATAGAAGCAGTATGTACACACTGCACAGTACAAAATACAGTATAAAAAAACACAGCAGCTACCTTGTAAAGTGACCACGTTTCTGGTGCTGATGCCTTACATAATAGAAACAGTAAGTCTGTCTATCCAATGACTGGTCATTTTTTTTTCAAATTAACTTTTGAAAGCAATGCATAAACACCCATCAAATTTCTGTTACACAAACTTCGTCAATAAAACTGATTCTGATAATAATAAAGAGCCTAAATAAACAAATTCAAGACATCATCTTGGATTCTGGGAAATTGTGACTGACACTATCCGGCTATAACCTCACTACTACGTCCTCGTTCTTCACACTTTCTGTGTCATGCCATGTTGGATACAAGAGTCAAGATTCAAGAAGTTAATTATCATATGGACAGGGAAAAAAACAACGGTTGACACTGCACGATGAAATTCTTAATTGCCAGAGCTTCACACAAAACAATAGTAAAACTAGACTAGACTAAAGTTATATTTTAAGAAAAAAAATAAAATAAGATAAACTTAACATAAAATGAAAATAAAATAAATGAATAAGCAGAAACAAAAAAGTTTCAAAAACCAGATTTTAATAGTAAAGATCAAGTTCAACATGTTTTTCTTCAAAAGAAAACTTTAATTCTAATGTTATTGTTTTGTGTGAGGGGAGACTTGCAATTAAGACCCCAGATTTGCTGTTTTGTTGATTTGATTTAAAAACATTCATTTACGAATACGCACCACAGAAGCACAAAACTGATTCGATGAAGGATTTTATGAAAGATTTAATTTTATTTTCAAGGTCAGGGCCCTGAGATCAGGTTATACAGCATAACTTACCTTACAGCTCCTATCAAATCTGGTCATTTTGTCTACTTTATTTATCATATTTAGGGACTAATTTCCAATTAGATAGCACAAACCAGATGCTAGTCATGGCAACAAGTGAGGGAAATAGTAATAGAATTTATTATTATCAAGTATACACATACCGTGAGAATAACTGATGTTACTGAGAATTCTCCCTTGTTGTTTGACTTTGAGTTGTGAAGCAGGTTTTTACGAAAAATCAAAAACAAGACACTGAGCGGTGATACATTTTATATTGCACCTGGGTTACTTTCTTAAACACGACAGCAGCTGTCAGAGTGCTAGGTTGCTGCGTAGCATTCATTTAATTAGGCTGTTACCAAGTTACTCCTTTTAACCATAAATGACAGACTTTATTGGAGTGCACTTGAAGGCATCACTCTGGCTCCCTCTCTATGTATTTGTATGCTGCAGTGTTACTGTATACCAGATATTATCAAAGTTCTCCTCCTACTGGTTGTACAGTAGCCTAATAAAGAGAGATTGCAGGATCCTATAGTTCTCACTCTGTGGAGGAGCTTTGTTAAAAATTCCTTGTGTGCACTTTTATAAAGTCATGGAAAGTATGAGAAGGATAATCACTGCTGCAGGGTTATACTACAACTCAGTAACAGTCCTGCAGACTTTCCAAATGTATTGAGCATGGAAAAGTTGATAAGAGTTCTCCAGTTTTCAACAGTTTCAAGATCATTGATTCAGAGCTGTAATTTAGTGCAGCATTAATTTAGTGTATCTGCATTCACATGACCTTCAACACACCTTTTTTACATTCATTTGAACTGCACCATTGATCTTTTTACAATGGCCCCTAGTGTTTTTTTGGTTGGGGATGCGAATGACAGAGCAAGCAGTAACTCTTGTGATCACCACAGTACTTTGTATTCATTACCAATCGATCAAGTGTGTCTTTGAAGGCAGTGCGTTCTGTAGGAATTGACTAGAGGCTGATTTATCAAGCTGTGGTTAAAGGAATACTATGCATTGTGCATGAGTAAGTCAGCACTGCATTGCATCTGCAGTGTTTGGTGAGGAGAAGGAGCGAGCTCTGTGTGGGCTCTTTGTGATCTCACAAGGTCAACAGGAATTTTTAAAAAAAAATGAATGGTATCAGTTTTGTGCGTTTTTTTCACAGAGGCAATTACAAACCATTTTTTTAATAATATTGATTAAATATCTTTTTTTCTGACTTGTTTTTCATCCCTCTGCACCAGTGAAATATACTGTGGAGGAGTCATGAGTGTTCACACACCATAGGGAACACTGCCCCTGCTGGCCAAGGAGTGAGTGGTTCACTTTGAAGGGTGTCAAGGTTCTTGTTTCCTTTTTTGGTTATCTTCAATGAACCCTGAACTCACCACCAATCACATTGACTTTATTCACCTAAACCTATTATTTATGTCAGTAATTATTTACCAGCACATTAATAGCAAATAGAAACTGTCTGTCATCGTCAAAAACTGTTCTTAAAAGTGATACTACTACTACTAATAATAATAATAGTAGAAATACAGGGTGATAAACATGCTTTGGTGTAGCTGTATAGTTAAAAACATTTACACTCAATTAAATCAAGATCAGACATAAGGCATTTAAACAGCCATAATGTTGGCAGAGCATCTAAGTTTAAAGTATTTTATAGATTATTCCATGTATACAAAGTGCACTGAAAGATAATGACATTCGTGCTAGTCCAGTTCTGATTAAAGGAGTGTGAAGCAACAACCTATTCTGTGGACAAGTACCAAGATTATGTGAGGACAGACTTAAGAGTGATGAAATACAGGGTGGAAGCATCTGCATCAAAGCTTTATAAATGAACAAATACCAATGATGTTCCCGCCTCACAGCCAAATGTGGCCAGCCAACCTTTCAGTAAAGGTGGCTATCCATCTATCTAGATATCTATCTATTCAATAATTGATCATTATCTTTTCAATTAACTTCTTTTCTTTTATGTTTCAGAGTGGTTCTACAAAAGATCCAAAGTCAAAGACCTGCCACACCATATGTGAGGCCCCCACCTCTCCATGTTGGTGTTGTGGTATGCAGAGACGTAAAGAAGTGCTAACATGGGTCTTCGATGACACTGGCAAGGTGAGGCCAGCTGCCTCAAACACCAACAAGGTGGCTGTCATCAGCGATGGTGCATCAGTTACCAGAACCACCTTATATGAAACGTACGCATCAAAGGTCACCACTGGGATGTTGTACATTATTCGAGGCTCCAACGTAAGGGCAAAATCAGCCTTTTTCCACTGACATAACAAAAGAGACGAAGAAGATGAGCTCATCAGTCCTGGTTCTGTGCTCACACAGCTCAGTAATGTGTGACCGGTGGAGGGGCTTGTGACCATTGAAGGAGATGTGATGTTCATGTTATTGTTGTGTGTGAATAAAATTTGTCATTAATACTAACATATTGTCCTTGTTTTCAGCTGTCCTCCATAAAATGGACACAAGGGAGGACAGTGGTGGCGAAGGAGGTCGGCTATAAATTGCATAAATAGGGTTTAACCCAGCTAATGCCTCGGCAGATCAGTGTGCCGGGTGTTTAGGAACCAAACCAAGTCCTTTATGAGTGGTGGAGGAGGTATTTAGATAATTAACTGTACAAAAAAATGTATGTAGTGTGTTCCTGCATCCCAGATCTTCTTCCGGCTGTTTCTGGGAACCTCCAGTAAACCAGCAGCAGATGATTGCAGTGTTCTTGGAGGCAAATAGCTGACAGTAGCGCACTAGCTATGTTAGCTACATCACTAACATTAGCGAGCCTTTCATTTTCCCTGCCTGGATGCAGATGGGAACCAATCTAAACACACATTATAGTCTCTATTTTAACATTAACAAAGAACATGTTTTCTTGTGTTGACCTTTTTAAAGTGAAGAGTAGGCTACTTTCTTATGATCATGATGTTAATAAGCAGACAGTGTTAGCTAGCTAGCATGCTAGCAAGGTGATAAGCTGTACTTCCAGGTTAAATTATGTTACACAGGGAAGTCTCCACAACTATTAATTAAGGAGTAAGCCAAATAGATGCTTGACAAACTTGTATTTACAGTTCCCCATGATGATATATGTCTTTCACCACGTAAATATTTCAGTCAATATAGGCATAACACGCTCCTTTACAGAGCACTGAGCAGCAGTAATTGGCCTAAATATCCTGATTCCCTTTACTGGAGACAAAACTTTATTTCTACTACACGTAGATCATAAACTCATACAGTCACGTCCATAATTATTTGGACAATGATACAGTTGTCATCATTTTGGCTCTGTACACCACCACAGTGGGNAAAAAGCCTTAAATGAAAGCTGAGAGTCTGCACTTTAAGCAGGTATTCATTGTTTCATTTAAAACCCATTGTGGTGGTGTACAGAGCCAAAATGACGACAACTGTATCATTGTCCAAATAATTATGGACCTGACTGTATAAAGCCGACCCATTGCAATCGGTTGAGGGATATTAACGTTATAGTCCTGTTTGTGTTTTTAAAATGTCGGCATC